AGGGTCAGAGACTTGAGCCAAAATGTCTTTCTTTCTTCCTTCTGCTCGAGCTTCATTTTTTGTTGATCCCGGCTCGGGGGCCTTTACTATTTAGTTGTCATTGTACTACAACATTTCATGAGTTGTGTTCTGTTGCTTGTTTTTGCCCCTGTTTGTTTGTTAATGGCTCTACCGCAGCCCTGTTCGCTGCCGGAGAATTCTTGGTACTCATGTAGGGTCTGCTGGGGCTCGCGCGTCGCGCATGGCCTCATAGTCTCGAACGGATTTGGCAACTCTAATCCGCAAAAGCAGCGGAGGGATCAGCACCTTCAAGTCAAGAGTTCGCACCGGCGCTGCTTAAGCTACTCTTTGGTGTGTTTCAGTTGCATGGAAGCCATACAAACGAATGTAGGCGAGCATTCATTTGAATCGTGATTGTCAGTGGATTACGGTCTTGTTAGATAGCCAGGTCCGCCTCCTCATCCTCTGCTGCTTCACCCGCCCTAGCTCAGGGCAGCCAAAGTGCACTCAAGGCAGCGGATGCCAAGCTGGGTGCCAGAGCCCCACATCAGTGCCTGCACCTGTGTGCCGACCGTGCAATCAAATCAACAATCGGTGCCACCTCCTTGCAAATCCAAGATAGGCACGCCGGGCGGACGCGGGCTCCATCTCGGCAAACCCGCGACTCATGAAATCGTAGGCCTTTCAGCACGTGCTCCAACGAGTCACGGGGCAAAAGCTAATTACTCGACCTTGTCATACAAGGCCGGAGTTGGGCGGTCGTTCGAGAAATGCCTCGAATGTGCATCATAGGAACTCAAGGACATGTGGCAGCTGGCAGCAAGGCAGCTAGGTTACCCAAGGATACATGCTTTCCGCTGCAGGCCCACCTCGCAGTCACAGGACTCACACGGATGACACTGATCCAGGGACTTACAAGAATTTGTTTCGCACAACTAAGATTTGCAGTCGCATGAGTAAGGTACGTTAGCGTCAGCTAGGCATCTTCGAATCACAGCTGCTTGAGCGGCGTTTCATCTAATTAGCACTTGACCGAGCAAGTAAACTGGAGATTGCTCAGCTGAACCTTAGATATGTAACTTGCAGGACAGCAAAGGAACTGCAAAGGAAATGATGAGTACAAGTGTGTGAAGGTCCCTTTAGTGCCCTTTCCCTGCATACCTCAATGCGTCGGGCCTCTGTCGCTGTCTGCTGCCGCGGGGTTAACGACTCTGTGATCTTGGATGCATACAAAGCTCGCCGAAGTCCTGACGCAGAGCTCTGCAACAATCCTCACCCGGATGTTCGCAATCTGCACCTGCACGTTTTGGTTTCGAACCGGATGGGGGTGCTGGCTGCAGCTGCCTGAGCATCATGAGCATCATCTTCAATTCAGACTACCCCTTCCATCGCACACGTGATAGGTGATAGGTCACGTTTCTAACAATCATGATGCGCCCGCAGATGAATCCATGCAAAAGGGACGAAAAACAGGAACAACACGGACGGCCAAAGGCGTCTAAGCCAAGGGCTTAGAAACGAAACTGGCAACTTGTCCGGACAGACTCCACTCCATGGCTGAGTCTCCGAGCCTCTTTGTCTTGTCGTGTATCTGCTCGCTGCTCACTCAACATAGTGTGCTTTCGGTTGGCTCACTGTCTCAATCCTCCACTGCATTAGTTAGGGTGCAAGGTTGTGATAGAAACTATGATGGTGACAATGTGCTTCAGTCATTGGCTTGAACACCGAACTCATGTGAAATCTTAGCCACATGATTCAGTAGGAACTTTTAAGAGCCTATGGTCGAGCGGGAGTTGAACGGCTTCTTGAGAGCTAATCTCGCACCGATCCTCAACTGCAGGCGTGGTACGTCTCTCAGGATCTAGCTGCAAGACAGTGGATTCAAACCATGTTGCAAGCACGCCCACCGGTTTGTAATACCATGACGCCATGGCGCTACTATTGCTAAGCTAAGCTGGCACAGCTTTCCACGGGCCCTCTCTCCCTGACCCCTTGTGGCTTGCACGTACAAGTAGAAGCCGCGAGAACAGAGCAGGTGTAAACAAACATCTTATCATCAGCGGAAACCCTCTGTTCTCAAATTGCAGCCTAGAAGGATTTCCTACAGACCTTCTCAGAATCCTGCCACGCAGACTTACTTGCCGTGTTTTGAGAGCCATAAGGTCTGGCATGTGCTGGGCCTTGCGCGCCATTGTTGCGCAGCAGAAACCATGCGGTCGCGTCTCACGGCCGCAAGATATCTTCTGCTGGAAAAAGGCGCCACATCTTGCCAAAAATGACGCGCGCTAACTGAGCAAGGACCAATGCAATACAAGCTCGGAGAAATTCAAGCGTTCACACAATACGCTTTCGAACCAATGCATGATCATAAGATCAGTCAGCGCTGTGTACGGGTGGCCTAGGGCCATGTCCGCCATCGGTCACACAGGGCACTACCTGCACCCCGGCCTGGTCTCCAAAGACCACAGCAGGCAACCAAGATCCTTCGAAGGAGACACTAACAGCCCTGGGCCACCTATCTCCTTTGGAGATGCTGACTCGGGCGTCGATAACTTGCGAAATGATGTCTGGCCTGGATAACTATCTGTTACTTCAGCCATTCAGCATTTCTGCCAAGCAGTTTGCGAGAACTCTGGCCATGGAATCTCCTGATAATTTCTACCCACCCATGGCAAAGAGTTGATTCCATAAGAAAGGGCGGCTCGGGGGCAATTCCAAGTATTAAATGCAACCATCTTTCTAAACACGTTGAATCCCAGCCCGCTCTCACTCAGTATGCGATGCACCTCTCACCTATGTCGTCACCAGCTACGCTACCCTGCCCGGTCTGATGATCAGCGCTCAGGGGCGGGTCGTCGCCTAGGTGTCCGAACTGCTAAGTCAAAGTTATCATGCGCCGCCATATCCGTACCCGGTCCGCTGAAGCCCCTCAAGTGATGTTGTTCGATTTTTTTCGTGACTACTGCAACGGTGCTTGTCGTCTGCGTGAATTCTTGGCTACCATTTGCAAATCAAGGAGTGCTTCGTGCGGGTAGGTAGAGACTGAAGGGAGCCTCCGGCCACAAAGCACGAAAGCGCATAATTTGAAAAGAGCCACTTTAAGGCTGACAGCTCTCAAGTCTTGTGGTCCCAAAGAGGCCTGTGCAAAGGCAAGTGGAAACAGTTGTTCTTTTCCTTGCAGTAAAGAATGTTGTCCGGCTGAACATCGAAATCTTCTGCATTTGTACACCACTTGTTTTTTCGGGCAGTCTAGTAGCCAACGCACGCTCTTTCAGATGAACAAGAGCCAGATGGAATGAGTGCTTGATTAATGATTAAGCGGACAACTAGATAGATAAATGACTGGGAAAGAGCACACCAATCTCGCAAACAGCTGAGCATCTGAGGCTGGTGCGGAGACGTGGGTGACTCCCATGGCTGATTTACCTTGCTTGCTTCAGATGTGCGACAGCTGAAAAAGAGATCTTCAGCAGGGTAAACCCAGGATGCCATCTTTTTATGCGCTTTGCTGGTTTCTTCCTGCTGGCTCAGCTTTTCCTGCCGGCCATCGATGCAAGATTCGCACGAATTTGCCCCTCAAATTGTGGGCCTCAACACTGTCAGTCGACATGCCAGCCACTGATGCAGCATCAAATGTTGAATGGCCCGTAAAACTGACATTTAGGATCATCCTGCGGCAACATGCAGCTCTTTGAGCTCACCCTACAAATCCCTTTGCTGCTACAACAACGCACGAATCTTTCTTTTGCCCAGCCAGGGCCTGCACCACAATTGACCATACTTTCGACCCCTGTAGCCATTTAATTACATGACATTCTGTTTTCCGTGTCAGTGCGGGCATAAGCTTGATAGTAAGCGAAGAGGGTTGAGCAGGCAAGGGGCCTGTTGGACAGCAGGCCTTGGCCAATCGGACTAGACACCACAGGACCCGGACCAGTAATACAACGTGGGATGTGTGGCCACGAACTTGCTGGCCCGCATTGTTTGGTCCAGGACTTCTTCTTGCTTGCTTTGAGGGACTCCTCCCTCCTGCATGTGTGGTTCTCAGGGAGTACGCTCTTTATTGCTCCAGTCTTTTGGCAATAATGCGATGCTGCATCAATGGGCAAAGGGACACCTGCAGCTAAGAACGTGGAAATGTCAGCCGATGCCAGCTCTAGCGGCAGCTGCACGCTGCTGACGCTGCTTGCGCTGAAGACACGAAACTTGCACTGATTCAAATTGCAATGGCTTGCAAGCTTCTGCATCAGCAAACATTCGGCCAGACTGTTGTGAAACTTTGGTAGCTATGTAGCTGCTACACCTGCACCACCCGCATCGACTGGAGGACTCACGCACTACAAGTTACAAGTGCGACAGTCCTCCACCAAACGGCGCATCATTGAACGCTCGCATTATGCTCACATTATGTTCACATCATTTCACATCTTGATAACGCCAGTTGCTTGGCTCTCCTCCGAGTCCAGAACCACCTCCCGACCATATGCTCAACAATGTGCACTAAGGTGCAAGAACCGACAGTACGTACCCCTCAAGAAAATGGGCCAGGCCTTGATAAAGCTCCCCTTGTACAACACGTTCAGCTTGTCTTTGGTGTCATTGGCCGTACCTTCGTGTACCTCCAAGTCGTCTCAAGAAGTTCAGCTGCACTGACTCCCTGAACCTTGGAACCTAACAGTTCTCCAGACCTTGGCATACTGAGCTCACGTTTTCTGTGGCAACTAACCGGTCACTTGCGAGAGTCAATGCAACAGGCCGGACTTGCAGTATTTAGAAAGCATCGCTTCGTAGAGTCTCCAAGCAGCTTCATATCTAGAAAGCGCGCGGGCGTTTTACGCCAGGGGGTCAGGCTGCAGAAACCTCAATCCAAGTCTGACACACCGTGTGCTACTCCTTTCCTGTCAGCGAAAGGTCTGGCTCATGGCCTTAACAAACCTTGGCGCAAGTAATTGGCAGCACTTCCAGGCGCAATTCTAAAGAAACACGCACCGGGGGGGGTGGCGGGGGGGCAAAGCCTTGAGCGCGCCACAGAAACGGAGGCAAACACGACCCACGTCACCTCTAGACTTTAAGTTCGGGCTGGAGACATGAGACGGCGGGCTCAGCCTGACTGGAGGGTGGAGAATGAAGAGTGGAGAGGGAAATGGCGTTGAGAGTGGAGAGTGGACCGCGGAGACTGGAGCGGAACGTGGCGTGTGGAGAGCGGAGTGGAGACTGGAGAATGGAGTGCGGAGTGGAAATTGGAGAGTGGAGTGTGGGCCGGAAAGTGGGGAGTGGAGAATGGCAAGTGAGTTTAGATTTGGAGTGGAGTGTGGAGTGGAAAGTGCCTCCGTGGAGTGTGGAGAATGGAGCGTGGAAAGTCGAATGTAGAGGCAGCAGGAAAATGGGGTAGAGTCTAGAGTGGTGCGTGGAGAGTGGATGGCGCGGAGGGTGGAGAATGTAGAGTGGAAAGTGGAGATTGGAGATTGGAGTGTCTTCGCCGTTTGTTCTGGATATTGTGTCGTGCATGATGCGCTAAATCTATGCAAAATACATGCCGCGTGTCTGCATTCGGCTCGTGGACTCCCATGCGGCTGTTGCATCTTGCTGTTGCATGACTTCATCTGGAAGTGTGGCTGCATTGTTATCGTGTTTGTTACGCATCGCAAAAGCTTAATGGCTTCACGTGTTGCTTTGCATGTTGGAATTTCATGGCCTGAGACCGGCCTGCACCATGCGATCACTTGCGATGGCATGCCACACGAGATCTTCCACGAGGACGGTCTCGTGCATTCCTGCTACATTAGTTAAACCGGACGACGTGCTAGATGACAAAAGGTACAACGGGCAAGCTAGGGAAAGCGAGGCAACAAGTACAAGATGCACAGTCTTGTGCGATTAGTTTCTGGGTGTTGGCTACAAAAGCAGGATGTTGAATCTGCTGCTGCTCGGCCACCAGGAGGCGAACCGCACAAGAAAATCAAATGCGCGGTTTTTGCGATGTTCTCACTGTTGGGTGGCCTACATGATTGCTCAAAGCTTCTTGGATGTGCACTGGCATGTGCGTTTGTCCCGCTTGTGTCTTGTTGCTGTCTCGCGGATCTCGTTTTCCTGGCGACGGAACAAGGACAACAATGATCCAAGGTGGAGAGTCCAGAGCGTCTGCCGTCTGAGTTTGGGTCCAACGCTGTGAAAAACTTTGCAAATGCTGCATCATTTCAACACGCACAACATCGAGGCTACTGATTTGTAGCCATCGGACGCCAACTTTTCCAGTATCCCACGAGAACAAGGAGCCTACACCTCAAACCAATCCACGGCAGCTCTGTAAACACTCGCGCAAGCACGGACAAGCGAGTGCAATGGCTTCCCATTTCTCCGTGTCCAAAACGTTCATCATGTCCGTCATGTAAAACCCGCATGCATACTCAACAAGCACAACACTTATCTTGTCCTCCGGAGAAATCACTCAGAACATCTGTGGAAAACGGCTGACACTCTGCACATGCAGGTACGTGATCCCAGCGTCCCAGGATCACATCACACTCCACGAAGAGGCGCCTTTTTGGCCTCAGTCCTCTGTGAGCATGAGGCCTTGCTGGAAACTATGATCCATGTGTCTATGGCTACACCGTTCTCAGCGAACATGTTCCAAAAACCCTCAGCTTAGAATCAGGGTGTACACACACACACATGAGAGCAAGTGACGCCATGATGCCACGTATATAAGCCCCTGAACCCCGAACTGAAGTTGGCAAAAGCACAAATCCAATCACACAGTGCCTTCTTGACCGATGCAAAGGTGAGCCAGCAGTTCCCACGGCGATAGTGACAGTCAGAGTCTGTCCCATACGGGAAATGCTTCTCCAGCCTGCGGGCTGCAGTCTGCAGTCTGTCACATGCTTGTAATTATGTGGAATTGCCTGGGAAGGCTCATTCTACGCAATCTTTGCAGCCTCGCGGTTTTGCCTAGCCTTGACTTGCTTTGTTTGTCTGACATTCCAAGCTGAGTGAAAAGTGAGTGGTTCGTAGCAATTTCAGGAGCACAAGACCGACAGGCTTTAGTCTTGGCGCGAAAGATTTCGGACGTCCGAGATCTAAGCAGCGGGGCTATTGATGGATTAATTCTTGAAGTCCAGCTTGCTCAGCTGCAGCATGCACAACCCATGCTCCTGATTAATAAAACTCCCTAGATGTATTTTTTGGTGCCAAATCTGGGGTCAAAGACAAGTATGAATGGGGGTTGTCCAATATTCCTTC